CAGACCGATTTCCCTTCTGAGCCGCGTCTACGTGCTGTTTTCGAGAGTCATTACGAATCGTCTCGCGCGCAGACTTGACGACTTCCAGCCTCCCGAACAAGCCGGTTTCCGAAAAGGCTTTAGCACCATAGACCACATACATACCCTTCGGCAAATTGTACAGAAGTCCGAGGAGTACAATTTGCCACTATGTCTGGCGTATGTGGACTATGAGAAAGCCTTTGATTCCGTCGAAATTTGGGCGGTGCTGCAGTCCCTTCAGCGATGCCAAGTTGACTGTCGGTATATCGAAGTGTTGAAGTGCTTGTACAGTAGGGCTACGATGGCTATCCGAGTACAGAACCAGAGTACGAAACCTATCCAATTGCAGAGAGGTGTAAGACAGGGTGACGTCATATCCCCGAAACTCTTTACCGCTGCATTGGAAGATGTTTTCAAGCTTCTGGACTGGAAAGGATACGGTATCAACATCAATGGCGAGTACATCACTCACCTTCGATTTGCCGACGATATAGTCCTTATGGCAGAATCGCTGGAGGACCTAAGCACTATGCTCAATGACCTCAATAGTGTTTCCCAATGGATAGGTCTTAAGATGAACATGGACAAAACAAAGATCATGTTTAATGTTCATGTCACACCTATGCCGGTAGTTGTTGGGAACACTAAGCTCGAAGTTGTTGACGAGTATGTTTACCTGGGACAAATAGTCCGACTAGGTAAGTCCAACTTCGACCGAGAGGTCAATCGACGGATTCAACTCGGTTGGGCAGCGTTCGGGAAATTACGGCACATCTTCTCGTCAGGTATACCTCAAAACTTGAAAACGAGACTGTACACCCAGTGCGTGTTGCCAGTGATGACATACGGAACTGAGACGTGGTCCTTCACTGCTGGCCGGATGAGGAAGCTCAAGGTCGCTCAGCGAGCTATGGAGAGGGCTATGCTCGGAGTTTCTCTGCGTGATAAACTCAGAAATGAGGATATCCGCAGTAGAACTAGAGTGACCGACATAGCCCAACGGATTAGTAAGCTGAAGTGGCAATGGGCCGGCCATATAGCTCGAAGAACCGACAACCGATGGGGAAGAAAGGTTCTCGAGTGGCAGCCTCGTACCGGCAGGCGAAGTGTAGGGCGTCCCCCCCACTAGATGGAGTGACGACCTGGTAAGATATGCAGGAAGTCGTTGGATGCAGGTGGCTCAGGACCGTGCTTTGTGGCATTCTTTGGAGGAGGCCTATGTTCAGCAGTGGACTTGTGAAGGGCTGTAATGATGATGATGATGAGGCCTAGCCAGGCCACCCACCATATTATCATTTACTAAAATAGTGCGGCAGCTGATTTCAATCTGATAATCTCCAAAACTAGCTAGCCTGTTAGACAAGCAGTCCTATGCTCATATTTCAACAAATTTTTCAAAGCATCAATGTTCAACTACAGAATCAATTCAACCAAATTAATCACCGATGCACATAGGTCTACTTGACAAATTAAACAAAACAATAACGTAAGGGATAGCCCTACTTCTTCACAAAGCAAAATGATTAAACACTATCATAAAACATATACATTATTTTTCAAATAGCGCGACATTCAATTCAAATGAATTTAAACTTTCTTTTCAGCAACCAGGCGCAACAATCAAACACAATGATTAAATATACAAAACACATGCAGTAGCATTTAAAGGAGTAGATTAAATTAAATTCTTTTAATCACAACCGCTACAAATAGGAAAATTTCGCGGAAAGCTCAAAGCGTTTTTTAATTTTAATTCAAAGAGTTTTTAACTAAGTGCTCGACCAAACCAAATCGAATACCCCTTGACAGCGTGATTTAACGCTCCAGGGGGGCCCTAATCTTCCCACCACCAAGTGGAGGCCACACGGCGTGAACCCGAGAACAATAGAGCGCAACCGCTAACAGTCGCCACTCGGGTTGTACGCCTTCACTGAGGACGTCGGCAACAGAACATTTTGACAAGTGGACTGTTGACGGCTTAAGGCTCAGTGGAGGCGGCCGTGGTGGGAGCTAAGGCGGCAGCTAGCCAGGGCCGCCTCCATCAAATGGGGAACAGTGGCACACCAGTCGCGGCCACTCAGCTAACGGGAGTGAGAAGGGTCCAGCGGACCGATGAGTGGCCGTGAAGTTCCTCTCCACACGCTGAGGTGATGTCACCCCCGCCCCTGGGGGAATTACCCACCGACTGGTCGGGGGAGGAACCCCTTCCAAACTTAGGGGCCCGGTGGCTGGCCGGCGGGCGCCGAGAGTCAGAGAGCAGAGGGCGTGGCTGAGGGCCCCCGCCCGTGGGGGTCGAGGGCCTGGCAGAGCCCCGAGAGGAAACGCCATTCGCACCCAGGCACAAAACTGCATGGTGATTGCCCTGGCAATGCAGACAGGGCCGCCGATGCGGACAGTCTCGCTGGAGGTGCCCTTCCAAACATGAGCAGCACCAGCGGCGCTCCTTGGCGATAGTTCGCCTCGCCGGAACCGGCTTACCTAATAATTTCGGACACGACATTACCCGGTGCTCAGATGCTCGACAATAGGAGCATGGGGGGGTTGACGACGACTTGCCTGGCGGATTCAGCCTCTCACTGGGTACGGCTCGTAAGTCATCAACGGTGCCCGTCGCGTTCTCGATCTGCCGGCACTACTCCTCCAAAAACCGCAGCAGGTCATAGAAGGGCGGAATATAGGAGGCCTCGTCCCCGCCGTACCTCTCCTCAAAATGGATTCTAAGGTCGAGAGGTAGACGGGACAGCACGTTGCGGAGCAACAAAAAAGCCCATTCGCCCACTGGTAATTCCAGCCGCCTCAACGTATTACAGGCCACCAGGACTGGATCCAACAGGTACGGACGCAGTCTGGCCCGGTCACTAAGAGGCTTAGAAGCTGCTTCACATGTTCGTCCGCAATTCGCCGCACGTTGGCGTATCTTCTGGCTAGGAGGTCCCGAGCAGTCTGGTAGGCGTCGTCTGACAATCTCAAGTGGCCGACGACGCCCAGGGCCTCCCCCTCCAGTGAGGCCAGGAGGTACGCCATCTTTTGGCTCGGGGTTAAGTCACCCTGGGAGTCCACTAGGCTGTCGAAAAGACCAACGAAGGTCAGCCATTTGGAAAGGACCCCGGAGAACTTTGGCAGGTCCAGAGTTGGGAGTCGTCCCAACAGCTTCGGCTGAAGCTGCTTCCGAAAGGACTCGGGCAGGCCACTCATCTGAGCTTCACGCGCCTCCTCGGCATACCTGACTTCAGCCTCGATCAACTCGTCCGTGAGCGAAAAGAACTGCTCATAGTGCGCGAAGCAGGAGTCCAGAACTCCCTTCTCCACATCCGAATCCTCGAGCTCAGCGTAAGCCTCCTCCACTGCGGCCCTTCGAACATCCGCCTGCTCGAACCACTTCATCAAGTTATGGACCCTATCCGGTTGACCTAACAAAGCATGGGCGCTGGTGGCCCAGCGTAGCTCAGTCCGCGGGCAACGGATTAGTAGCTTGGGCGATAGCATCACTACTAAATACAAATTACGACACGGCTCGAGCACAAATTACAAAGATACCAAATAAAAAATACAACAAAAAATTAACAGTTAATAAATGCAGTTCCTATCGACTCGAGTTGAATAGAAATTACACAAATACGAATTATTACGTATCAACCGAATACAAGTTAGCACAAAAGAAAAGACACAAATCAAATTAACAAATAACAAGTACTAGTGCGATCAAATCAAGTTAAATTCAAATTGCGAACTCGGCCGAACTTCAAACCGGTCTGTGTCCTTTCAGCCCTACGACTTGCATCTTGGGTTCAATTTATTAAACTTACTGAAATGATGTGTAAGTGTTAAAAATTGCGGACAAGTTAAAGCCAGTACCTAAAAGGCTTAGACAGCCATGATGAGTTAGTAGAACGAAAATGGCATGGTTTATAAATGACAAACGAAGTGTTTTTGTTTATCTAGCTTCTTAACATGATATGTTTTAAATTTATTTTTAAAATTATAATTGATGCTAAGATTTTTAATTGGTGGTGGGATGTTATTCCAACACTTCGTTGCCATATATCGGAAACTACCAGTAAATGCCGCTGTTTCATGGCTGTCATGCAGGAGTGCTGGCCTTATGGACCTCAATTATTTTCCAGAATTTTGCTTTACCAACTTTATATTTTTTATTTTGTAATGTAATGTAATGGAGAAAAAAGCAATAAATATATTATTTTACATATAAATTGTTTTATTTATTACTTACGTACGCAAAACTTTGAGAGTACCCCATGTACATACAATACACTATAATTATACTATATATCTTTATATATAAAAATTACGCGTCACATTGCTTGTCCGCGAAGAACTCCTAAACTACTGAACTGATTTCAATGAAATTTGCACACTGTGCAGTTTGGCCCAACTTGAGAGATAGCATAGTTTTTAACCTGATAAGTGATATAAAATATTTTTTTATTACGTATTTAAGGATTTTTTATATGAAGGGTCGTCAAAAGGGCAGAACAACGTCTGCCTGATCAACTAGTATATATATATATATAATTCATAAATTGAAACCTGCCTTTTTGGAAATTGGTGAAAGTGGATATTTCATACGGAATGTTTTATAAACATTTTTCCGTTTCTTACAAATAATTTCCTTGATAGTAACAACAAACATGACATCTTTTTAGAAATATGTGGAAGTTTATGATGACTCACGGAACTCTTCGGTTAGATCAAATACAAACACATAAGAATCATCAACAACATTTTATGAGTAAGCAATGATAAGAAATTTTACTATGCTGTGTCTTTGTCTCTTTTAAAAGAAAACATACGATTATAATGCCAATAACACGCCATAAAGATTTTATCGTAATAATTACACTTAGAAAAATGATAAGTTCTATAAAGACGTACTGCAATGACTAACACGGTGGGGTATAAAACTGTTGCTACCCTTATCAGACATCAATTAGAAGTGAAGCGTTGTTAAACGAGAAATCATGAAAGGTAGATGAGTTCATAATTATTGCAATTAGTTAGTTTCTTTGAAATAATTTTTAAACTTTTTATTAATTTGTTTAGTATTTGTTACAGTCCTATCAATTATTTTACTGACAATTGCCGCAGCGGCTAATTCAGAAAACCTGTGTCCTAAAATACAAGAAATTGATTCGGATATAGAACTGTTGTTACCACATAGGGATTGTCACAAGTTCTATCAATGTGTGCATGGCCAGCCGGTGGAGATGTCATGTCCAAATGAGCTTTATTTCAGCATAAATGAACAGGCTTGCAACTGGAGGGCAGATGTTGATTGTGGAGATAGAACTACTCTTGAAGATTCAAAGCCGGTTGACGGGAAGAGCCAAGAAGTAGAAACTTCTCCCGAATCCGATAAAGACGAAGATGAGGAAGAACCTGAGGAAACCGTGCAAACTGAAAGACCTGTCTTCCCTATTATAGAATTCCTTCCAAATGGTTGCCCGGTAAATCGTGAAATACATTGGCTGCTGCCTCACGAGAAAAGTTGCAGTCTATTTTATTATTGTGTGCAGGGTGAGAGAGAAGTCAGACGGTGTCCGTTTTGGTTGCATTTTAACAGGAAGCTTCAGGTACGATATTACATTAGAGTAACAAATCCCTGTGTGTTCTATGAAAACTATAAAAAAATGTATCATTTATTATTAGATAGTTAAATTTTAAATTTTATATATTATTCGATTTGCCGACGATATAGTCCTTATAGCAGAATCGCTGGAGGACCTAAGCACTATGCTCAATGACCTCAATAGTGTTTCCCAACGGATAGGTCTTAAGATGAACATGGACAAAACAAAGATCATGTTTAATGTCCATGTCACACCTATGCCGGTAGTTGTTGGGAGCACTAAGCTCGAAGTTGTTGACGAGTATGTTTACCTGGGACAAATAGACCGACTAGGTAAGTCCAACTTCGACCGAGAGGTCAATCGACGGATTCAACTCGGCTGGGCAGCGTTCGGGAAGCTACGACACATCTTCTCGTCAGACATACCTCAAAACCTGAAAACGAAACTGTACAACCAGTGCGTGTTGCCAGTGATGACTTACGGAACTGAGACGTGGTCCTTCACTGCTGGCCGTATGAGGAAGCTCAAGGTCGCTCAGCGAGCTATGGAGAGGGCTATGCTCGGAGTTTCTCTGCGTGATAAACTTAGGAATGGGGATATCCGCAGTAGAACCAGAGTAACCGACATAGCCCAACGGATTAGTAAGCTGAAGTGGCAGTGGGCCGGCCATATAGCTCGAAGAACCGACAACCGATGGGGAAGAAAGGTTCTCGAGTGGCAGCCTCGTACCGGTAGGCGAAGTGTAGGGCGTCCCCCCACGAGATGGAGTGACGACCTGGTAAGATATGCAGGAAGTCGATGGATGCAGGTGGCTCAGGACCGTGCTTTGTGACATTCTTTGGGGGAGGCCTATGTTCAGCAGTGGACTTGTGAAGGGCTGTAATGAATGAATGAATGAATATATTATTAGATAATCGTTCATGCACGATTATGGACTTGTATAGAGCAACTTCTTTTCAACAACTATAAACTTTAAAGTTCATTGTTGTACACATTGTTTAATATTGTACTGTATTATCAAAAATGTACAAGCAAACTGTAACAATGTACCATTGTTGTTGAGTGCAGAGTTGCTATTCTCGCACTGGCAATACTGCTCCCCAGCACTAATCTGTGGAACTTGTGTTTGGTATTTTTAGATAAATTTTTCACTTTTTAGTTGTGATCAGAGTCGTTCGCCACTCATCGGATGATTGCATTATCAAAAATGTTACAGCAAGATCGCTATTTTGGTGAAAAATATACCCCCCCCCCCCCCCCCCCAATTAAAGAAATGAAATATTATAATAACATATTCGTTTGTAGATAAGTAGAAAATTTTATAATTTTTTCCTTAACAGATTTGTGACTGGCCAAGGAACGCTGGTTGTATCGAGTTTGCAGAGTTACATGACAGCAAGATGAGATTATAATTAATTAAAAGCAACATTATATAAAAAACTACATAAGGTTTAATTCCGTCAATAATTATATCAATTCGATGTATTTTGTGAATGTTTATTCCAAAATCATATTAGATATAATATTAAATCTGTAATAGGTATATTTTAATAAATTTATTAACGCTACTCTACTCTTATCTTTATCATTTGTAATACTTTACACTGCACTGAAATAAATATATATTTTAATACTACACACAATTAAATTATGTAAAATTAAAAATCATTTATTTCGGAACTAGTTCATACTCGTATCATAGCCCATTGATCTGAAAACGCTTGTATTGACGGAAATATTTGTAACTTCTAAAGCGCGTACTATACAAGCACTGTTTTTAAATGTATTAATTGTTACAAAAAGATTTCTGAGTTTTAGACGTTACAGTGAATTACAGTTACCTAAAAAATGGTTTAAAATGTCTAACTAAATTATTTAGTAGGGCATCGATGAACTAAATAACTTTATTTTTAATCTGTCGGGTTTGTCTGTCCGGGCCAATCTTTAGGATGGCTAAAACGATGTAATGAAACTTGGCGAACAAATAAAGAGTACTGCCAGAAGTGATCTAAAGTTAAAAAAAGTTAAAGTTACAGCCTATAATACGTCCCACTGCTGGGCACAGGCCTCCTCTTCTTTCTGAGAGAGTTTACGGCAAGGATATGTCCGCTGCGCTGCCGCAATGCGTGTTGGCGAACTTCACGTGCATTTTTTTATTATTTCTAAGACATGCAGGTTTCCTCATAATGTTTTCCTTCACAGCCGAGCACGTGGTAGAGGAGCTTTTAAAATTATAATTAATAATTTCATTGGTGCAAGCAAACGTAAAATTTTCTAAGAATTGTGAATTCATTAAATTTAGGGAAAAACATTTTCAAAAGCAAAAGCTCTTTAAACATGTGTACACCTTGTGGTTACTACTTGTGGTTTTCCTTAAGTCTGAACTCTGAAATGGGAATTAAGGAATAAGGTATGGAACAGTTTGACTCGTTAACACAATACTAAGAACACAATGCTAGTGAGCACGTTTGGACTTTGTAAGCTTACTTACTTTATATTCTAGGTTTATAAGCTTACTTACTTAAAACTGCGCTTATTTCTTATGTGAATACCTTTTAATAGCTATGTAGATTTAAAATTTTGTAATAAGTGAAATGTATAAAAGCCGTTGGTGTTACGGATAAAATAAAAAAATAAAATACATAAAATACATAAATTCCTATAACACAGCTTTAGTGCTACCAGCTTTCCACAGAGAAACAATGATGAAAACTCTTAATTGTCTCGGTTTTCGCTTGCTGCATTTTGTCTGTATACGAAGTGCGTTATTATTTCTTTTATTTATATATAAGAAATTTATTATAAATTTTAATAAATATTACTATTAATTTAAACTAATTATAAATATCCTTTAATAAAAATACCTAAAATAACACCAGAACTTTCTGGTATTATTCCAAAATTTGACAGTGATGAAAATTTTATTAAATTATTTATTCGTACATGTGAACATGTTATACAGTTGTGTAGAGAAAAAAGAAATACATAACACATCTTGAACTGATGAACTTTAAAGTCGAAGGTCACTATTACTTAACAATAATCTGTGGCTTTAGCAAATTAGAACAGGCCCTTGAAATAATTAACAGGTTGACTCCCGAAGTCGTCAGAGTTCTTCTTAAATATTTTTCTTTTTTACGGTGTCCCGTGTGAAAATTAATAAAGACATTACAACATTACCACATAACTTAAGTAGTATAATCAGAACACTTTAATCATATTGAGACACGGATTATAAGTATATGTAACCAATTGATTCATAACTTTCAGGATATCTTTATAAAACTGAATGAGATAGAAACCAATTTAGCTTTGAGTAGATTAGGAATCTTACGTCAGTCTGAAACAGAATTTAAAAGGTTGTTGTTTTTACTTGAAAATATTGGTAGAGTGGCGAATCTAATATACACTCCTAAATTAGAAAATTTGGTTAATATAGAGCGAACTATAATAGCTTAAGCATATTTAAAAGGAAGTAGCATAACTTATCTTTTGGAAATACCTCACGTCACTAAGGACATTTATATTTATTATAAGTTCTATCCCTCACCTGTACTATCCCATAACGTTACCACTGTCATTTTACCAAAATTCCCGTACCTTTTAGTGAAAGGGTTGACGAATAGACTGCTTACTCATCCTTATCAGGAAGCCGATGAATACAGTTACCTCTGTCCTGAAGACGACACATCCCAACTAATTATGATAATTGCATCACATACCTGATGACTTATGCTGAAAATATATCTTCATGCATCCAAGTTCCAGTCATTTTGGAAGCTGTAAGGGCTGCTTATACAACCTAACATATAGATTTTCTACACCAAGGAGTCTATTTTACTCTCTGAGATTTGTAATAATGAAATAACAAGGCAGAAAATTTATGGCGCATATATCTTAACATTGGACGATAACTGTGCAGCCAAAATGAATGATATTAATCTAACAAGTAACCCTGTGGTAAATGAAAGTATTTCATCCCCTATATTACCTATAATTAACCTACCTGCAATAATAAACTCATCCCTCGAGATATCATCCCCGTCGCAGCTGAACCTAGAAGGCATAGATCTTACGGACCTAAAATTTCTGTCAGTTGCAGTAAGAAAAAGTGAAATTAAGAATTAAGAACCGTGAAAGTGAAAAGGCAATTGTAGTGATTAAAAGTTTTAGTCTATGGACCACTTTATTGTATGGACTGTTATTGTAACCTGTGTCTTAGTTCATAAGTATCATTTAAACTTTTTTAATTTTTGTATCCGGAGTTCTCCTGTAAACGAGAACTTTGAACTTGAGGAGTAAGGTGTTACGGGTGGCGAGATCCACCTAGATGTCAGGCATGTGCTAAGTGGACAAACGGAAACTGCCGAGCTCCTGTGTGGGCTCTCGTGCATTATTATTTAAGCACAGAATATTAAGTTAGTCTTAAGCGAGTTCTTGTGGCGATCAATCATGTTTTAATTAATAAAATTAGTATTTTTGAAACGTCCTCCGGCCCCTGCATAACTTGACTAGGTGTCGTACTTTTAGTGTTGGAAGTGTGCCAGGGCCTTGAGAGGCGCGCTGGGCGTGGAACGGGCCGTCGCCGACTGCCCTGGCCGAGGGCTAGTACGTATTAGTTCGCGTCCGTTTCTCTAACCTCACGCACCGCACACAAACACAGACTGACTGCGCATTATACAAAAATAATGCCTATTCATTTATATATAATTATTCTACCTTTATTTAGTTACAATATTTGTTTATATGTATGGTAATAGTTTTAAAGTATATATTTGTACTTTTATATATTTAATAATAATAATAATAATACTGATTATTGCGTACTGAAATACTAAGTGTTGGTTAATTATTTAAGATTACCATTAACTGTCGTGCATATTTTGTTTTGTCGGAAACTTTAATGTTCCCCATCTGTAAAGATATTTAATAAAAGTTGATTTAAAATTGATCGAATCTTTCACTACCTAAATACATAAGTTTACATTATATAACATATACCTACTATGTATCTTCTTTGGCACAAGTCTATAATATTCCGTTTCGGTTCGGTATCAACCCTAGCGTTACACGCTCTGGCTCAATATCACAGACTAATTAGTAGATTCTACACGAATCTCAATATCACCGGCGCTTGAACTCTCACGTACAGAGAGTGTCACCGCTGTGATTGTATTGAAATAGTTTTAATTCAAATAAATGTCATCGAGACATATTTATTTGTTTTTAAAAAGCTATATAATATATAAATGTCAGTAAATAGCTAGTCTCCGTTGAGACAAACCGCAATGACCGAAATTCGGCCTAGAGGAATTTATCGATGTGTACGTTGGAAACAGTAAAAAAATAAAAGTATCCAGCGCATATAGTACTTTACATTTAAATATTAAAATACTGAAATACTTAAAATATAAATAAAACCCTAAATAGAATCATCAACAGCATTCTATGAGTAAGCAAAGATAAGAAATTTTACTATGTTTTTGTCTCTTTTAAAAGAAAACATACGATTATAATGCCAATAACACGCCATAAAGATTTTATCATAATAATCACACATAGAAAAATGATAAGTTCTATAAAGACGTACTGCAATGACTAACACGGTGGGGTATAAAACTGTTTGCTACCCTTATCAGACATCAATTAGAAGTGAAGCGTTGTTAAACGAGAAATCATGAAAGGTAGATGAGTTCATAATTATTGCAATTAGTTAGTTTCTTTGAAATAATTTTTAAACTTTTATTAATTCGTTTCATATTTGTTACAGTCCTATCAATAATTTTACTCACAATTGCCGCAGCGGCTAATTCAGAAAACCTGTGTCCTAAAATACAAGAAATTGATTAGGATATAGAACTGTTGTTACCACATAGTGATTGCAACAAGTTCTATCAATGTGTGTGCAGCCGGTGGAGATGTCATGTCCAAAGCGGCTTCGTTTCAACATAAACAAACAGGTTTGCGACTGGAAGGCACATGTTGATTGCGGAAATAGAATAATTGTTGAAGATTTCAAGCCAGATGACGAGGAAAGCGAAGAAGTAGAAAGTGTGAACCTGTCTTCCCTATTATAGAATTACTTCCGAATGGTTGCCCGGTAATGGTGAAATACATTGGCTGCTGCCTCACGAGAAAAGTTGCAGTCTATTTTATTATTGCGTGCAGGGTGAGAGAGAAGTCAGACGGTGTCCGTTTTGGTTGCATTTTAATAGGAAGCTTCAGATACGATATTCCATTACAGTGATAAATCTCTGTTTGTTCTATGAAACTTATAAAAAATTATTCATTAAAAAAAATCAAATATTATGGTAATATAATTGAATATTTTTTTTAGATAAGTAGTCACTTTTTTATTTATTTTTTCTTAACAGGTTTGTGACTGGCCAAGAAACGCTGTTTGTTTTGAGTT